ATGAACATAAATAAGTAGTATAGCATAATAGATTAGAGTTGGTTGACCTGCCAGTAACGAATCCATGTTGTCGTGGGCTTAATATATGTTTGAGATGGTTATACATATGGGTATATATAAAACCCTCGAATATCTTAGCAAATAAGTTTAGAATACAGATAGGTCTATAATTCAAAACATCACCCTTGTCTCCAGATTTATACACTGGTGTAACTTTAGCTATCTTCCATAGGCTAGGAAATACTCCCTCATGCAAAGATTTCTCAAATATAATCAATAACGGTGTAACAAGAGCAGGAGCGCAAAAACGAACAAAGATAGGTGGGATACCGTCAAAGCCAGAACCCTTAGAGAGATCGACATTTTGTAACTTTTTTAACAGTTCCTCTCTAGTTATTTGTAAATTACCAATAGAGTAGTTTGATGATGGAAAGTTAGGAGAGTAATTATTTGTGGTATTGGAAGAGTAAATTGATTTGGCGCACGCTATAGTCTTTCGACCATATCGCCTAGTTGATTTTGTTAACTGACGACCAATTTTTGGTTTGACGACTAATCACATACTTAAAGTCGTGCAGAATTTAATCACAGAAGTATAGTTAAATTTATAATTTAAATTCGAACCGATTCTTATATCACCTGTAATCTACCGAACATTACATGTGATGGAGTAATCAAACGCAGGGTCTTCGGCTATGATTTTTATCGTATCATAGATACACTCTTTAAAGATAAATTACATACAATAACTTTACTATCAGCAGAACATGGAACAATTACAGAAAGAATATCAAAAAAAATACGATATGTAACCTCTTTTGTTTTGAACATTAAAGACCACAGATATAACGGCAGCAAACAGAGCATCAAATTGAATGTTTTATCGAAATAATTCTATGTTTCATAAATGTTTATAGTCCTAATTCCAAATTTGAATTTCGAACATAATCCTATATACGTGAAGGCAAACTTTTTTTTAAAGAATTACGCGAACAGATGATCGTGACACTTGACACAGTTAATATTTATGTAGAAGAAATGCATAAAGCAATTTGTTTCATATGCAATGAATGAATTAGAATTAACAAAACATTGACAATAGATAAAAATTTATACATTTAATCGCCATTATAGTCTGTGACAACAAAAGCTTAGCTTAAAAATAAAATTAGTTATTGTTGAATTTTGACCGGGCCTATTATATTATACGGTAAAATTCTTATTTTAAAATAACGATACTTGTCAAATAAACATCAGATTGTCATAGTTACATCACTTAGAGTACCTACGTTTCAGAGTTGATACGGTTTCATACTTTTTACCGGCAAGTGTATACTTTCTAATGCCCGCTCCGGCTACTCTATCCTCACTGTGACCACTTTCCAAATTAACTTATAAAATACGCTTGAGACCTTGTTATACGAAACAGATATTTCGATAAAATTAGTGCATAAATTGTTGTTTTAAATAGCTTAATATTTATAATTGCTTTTAAGTTTAGACTTGTGTTGGCCTAGTGGCTACAGCGTACTCTTTCATCTCTGAAATTGTAAGTGCGAATCCCGGTTTGTTCAATAATGGAGATTTTAAGTGCATTTAACACCCGCTCGATGAAGGAAATCACCGCACCGTGAAACCGACATGCTTTAGACCCAAAAAGTCGACGGAGTGCAATTACAGAAAAGATCACTAACTTGCCTATTAAAAACAAATGAGCAAACAGATACAGAAATCTGAGGCCCGGACCTAAAAGCTATTATCAGTTAAATTTGTTGTTGTTATTATTTTTACACAGAAGGCGTTGAATACTGTATCCAGTACAAGAACACATCCATGTTGTTATTGGGCTTGCCGAGGTTCTGGAGTGCGAACTGATGGTTTTGATGAATCGTGTTAGGTATAGCACACCATTGGTGATATTCCTAATCCAGAATGTTGTTCACAAAAACCGGAGATCATAAAACTTTCTAAGAGTTTTTTACCAACCAATTTTAACTAAGAAACTAAGACTGTTACTCTGTAATTAAAACTACATATGGATATCAGCCCTGCGATTCTGTAACTCACTGTTAATCCGTGAGTCCACTACGCACTAACAGCGCTCCCTTCGTCACTCACGTAATTTTTGGAATCTCATGGTATTCTGTTAAGAAATTTTACATTACGTCTTGATAAGTGGAGGGAGTGAACCTAGGGAGTTGTTGTCTATTAATATCGTAACAATTGACTCATTTTATTTATAAAAAGAGTTAATTGTCAAAATTTTTATCATATATAAACAAAATATTTTTAATAAAACTAAATGGTCGACGTTTGAAATAAAATGAAGAATATTAAAAAAAAGATAAACTGTGAAAATATCTCAAAAATGATTTATCGGATGGAAAATAATTAGCAAGATTAATATAAAAATATGCTTAACCAAAGCATAGCGAATAAATTATTAAAACTCATCTGGCAATGGGGCCGCTTAAAGGTGAGTAGTAAGTTTATTTATTAGTAAATCGTTTCATTAATAAATAATTGTTTTTAAAGTAGGAACATACTTAGATTTGGATTTCTGAGTCTAAATATAGGTTTGCTCAAGATTTTTTTATTCATAGTACTGAATCAAATACTGTATGCGAAATTACTAAGCCTTGTTACCATAAAACTTTAAATAATTTTTGGCTTAGTTATAATATTATCAAACATGTTTTTAAGATACTTTACTTAGAAATACAAAGATATCCCATAAAGTTTTTGTGTGTTTTATGCAAGTTTTTTTATTATTTTCCTTAACTTTACTATAATTAAATTGTTACGCAATATTATTGTGTCAGTACAGTGACCTACCATATCTCCCTATTTACAATTTTAACAGATAACTATTGTATTACAGCCATCAGCGGTAGTTGTCAAGAATGAGGAAGAAAATGACCAATTATTGAAATGTTAAGAAGAGATTAAACCGAGACCACAAATCTATTTTAAAAATTTTAAAAATTGTATTACCGTGTTTAAGATAATTGTGTACTTCATAATAATTTTTTTGTATCTAATAATATTGTTATATTAATAAAATGATTAATTAAATCTACCATTATTTAATGACTGCCTACAGAAAACGTAGTAACCGAAATGAAAAATATATAAGCCATGTTACTTTATAGGTTAATAAAAGAACAATATAATAACTTACACATTTAATTTAATGATTATAGTAAACTTTTAACACACTACAAAATAACTTTCAGTTATACAAACTTAAACTTAAGTATAATAAAAACTAATTCAAACCCAGCCTCACATAGAGCTAATCAATAACATCTACTTTATTTTGTAGACAAATATATTTATTTTAATATTATATTTTCTTATTAGTTTGTAAAAAGTAATAGTTATGAACTATAAATTTAAAAAAGCTTAAGTACTTAAACCATCATGTATGTAATGATGGTATTTCATACTTGTGTAAAGCAGAATAATGTTTTTATCCAAAACCTTAATGTTATACCAATATTTATAAAAATATAGGAACCGAAATTGTACTGTGTTATCATTTATTATAAATTGAAGGATAGTCGAAATTCAATAATTTGAAAATGTCTGCACTATTGTGTCTTTCTATATCCAGGGGCCTTGTCTTCTTCAAAGGCAGAATGTAATTTTTCTACCAGGAATTTTGAACATTTGGATCTCTGAAATTATTAGATTTATAATTTTAGTATAGTAGAAAAATACAAATATTTTACAAAATTTACCTATCTTAACTTATTTATCGTTTTCTGTTCGACTTATCTCTGCTGGAGACAAGACATGATCGAAATGCATCGAAAAATTGGTTCTAGGATAAAAATGATATTTTTAATGCTAAAATAATCAAAATGTTTACCTTAGAATATCTATTTACTAGTCTCTTCGTTCATCTCAGCAGCATATGTTCAAGGTTTCGTCAATACCATATAATTTCTTGGGTATTGGAAAAAAGCGATAGTAACCAACGCCGAGAAACCAATTGGTCGTTTCGTGCCTACAATTTCTTCGCCATGTATAGATATTATATGAAGTATTTTTAATGGTTTACATCATTTATTTCATGAAGTAGAGGTTTAAGCTTTTAAAGTGGAAACGGGCCTTCTGTAACAATAACAAAGTTCTATTTCACGAAGCCTAATGCTTATATATATAATTTTTTTCGTACTCGTAAAATATAGCTGCATTGATAAATATTCAATTCAATTTCAAAAATTCTTTATTTTGTTTCACAAAAATTTATAGTGCTACATATCCAGTGTACATTATTTATAAATATTATTTTATAAACTTACCCCAACAATCAACATACATATAGATTGTCCTATGTTAGAATATTTTCACATAAAACAAGTTTTAACTTCGCTTAAAATGGCTACCTCACTGGTAAATCACGATTTCAGCGAGGGAAGAGCAACTTTTAATTTGACGTAAAGAATCTACATTTAAATGAGATGAGATGTCAAATGGTATGTATCAGAATACCAAATACCAAAAATTTTGGAGCGTAAGTGTAGCAGTGCCAAATTTTAGTTCCAAATGTGAACAATCTCATTTGAGCGGCGCTTTTGTCGCGGTTATTGTTTATCAGAATACCAAATTGTAACATGACACCGAAACGAACGATTTGACAGCAAAAATCAGTGCTGAGAGTGTGTGAAGCGAGTAACAGAATCGCAGGGCAGAAATAAAAATAAATCAGTGGCGCTACAACCTTTTTAGGTCTGGGCCTCATATATCTGTTTCATGATCATTTGTCAATCTAATAGGCAAGTAGATCGGCCTCCTGTGCCTGACACACGTCGACTTTTTGCGTCTAAGGCAAGCCACTTTCCTCACAATATCATTGCTCCGCTTCTAAAAAATGGAATAATTACAAAAAGCAATAATAAGTATGTAGTATGTGAAGTAATTACAAAAAAACAATAGTAGTATATGAAATAATAAAAAAAACTAATATGTAAAATGAAAATAAAAACATGATATTAACCTGACAACTCAACCAATAAATTATTCTTGTACTGGAAATAAATAATGTTAATCATTGCAACGCTCCTTGACAAACTATATTATACAGTGACAGCCAGACTACAAAAGCTTGTTCGATTACAAAAAAATAAAATAATTATTCATAATTGCTTCTCTGCTTCTTACTTTGTTTCTGTGTGAATTTCTTCCAATTCAATCAATAATTGGAAATCGCTATCGTTATACAGAGTAGCCCTGCTGGGCTCACTTAATACATTACTATACAAGAAAGATGATCGTTAAAACAAATCTTATGCAGAAACACAGAAAAGTTTGTAGCATTATATTACCTGGTTAAAAACTCCTCGTACAGAGGAGTAGGTCTCGCCTTTTACATAGGGCGGCAGTGTAACCGTCGAGCTGATGCTGCGAAGGAAACTCTGCAGCGCTTCATATTCCTCAGAACTCTTAGTCTCTTTACTTTTGACGGCCTTTGGCGTCTGGTTCTGAGACAGCATAGCCTCGTGGGCTCCATCACTGCAAATTGATTTAATATGATTAATATAATATGTCCATACATATGATTGTGGCATACATGTCCTATGTAGTAAAAGGGACGGAAAGAAGTTTTTAAGAATAAAAAGTGTGTGTACTTATATACACGCGTTAGAATTTATACTTTGGCGTAACAAGATAAAAATCTTTGCTAAAATTGGATTCTACGTTTGTAGAAAAAACAACGCTAACAATAGAAAAAAAGGTTTTTTTTTTTGTATAGAACAGAGGCTCATCTGATGTTAAGTGATACCGCCGCCCATGGACACTCTCAATGCCAGAGGGCTCGTGAGGTATTTAATACATTGAAAGTTTTATTATAGCGTTATCGTTTTATTATAATAGCTAACTTCAGGGTGTCGGTTTTTTGTGATGGTGTGCTCGCGCATCGTAAAGATTTACTCTCATCATTATTCCCTAACGCACCAAAAGAAGTATAACTTCAAAAAGAGATATTTAATGATAAACCCCTTACTTGCCTTAATATTAATATTTAATGTTTTATGTGGACAAAGGTCAGGATGACGCAGCACGACGGAAAAGAATGAGGTGATGTAACTATCGATAAATAATTATCATATCGCACATCGGCAACAAGAGTGTCACAACACATAAAAATAGAAATTGAGATAAGTATCCCTTAAAAAGGGCAAACACAAACTTTATCGGCTAAAAAAACGTCATAATTAACACTTACCTGTTTATGTACCTATACCTAATTTATCTAATACTGGCATCCCAGCTGGCTTCAATTCAGCCTAAAACTGCATAGAACATTTAAATGTCTTCATTCAGATTCAGATTGTCTATCGTCTGGCGTTTTTGGTGTCTACACCCCTAATATAATCCCCCTCTCTGCTAGGTATAAATTTCACGAGGCCTGTCCTGTATAGCCTTCTAAACGTAATTCACGTTGGGTCATTTCACAGGTATTTTTTGTTCATGGGCTTGTGGTCTAGTATGGTCAAAGGGTGGTTTATAATTTTCCATTCCTAATGAGTATTTTTCTTTACTCTATGACTAGTGTACGTCATCTTAGCTGACGCTAAATGGGTAAAATAATGGGGTCCCATTAAAAATCCAGGACAATTCTGCCGCCGATATCAAGTAAGCCTGGCATTCCTAATTTTTTGCTAAAAACCACCTCGTCCTCGTGCTAAACACCACGTCAGGTTTCTAAAAATATCACAACATATTCATTCCATTTATTCAGGAGCTATGATACCACAGACAGTGGTAGACAGATACACAAACACACAAATGTAAAATTTAGGAAGGTGCCTTCTTTTTGCGCCGAAGGTTTATATGGGTTTTTACATGTAAATCAATTATTTTCGAAACCAAAATTATAAAGCGAGACAGTTTTAATATCATAACTAGATAAATTATTTTATGTAGCTTAGAATCACCAGTCCTGCCTTTTCTCGATGAAAAATGTTCATTTGTAAACATCGTTAGGTCAAGATCTCTCTCCATATTCATCGAGCCATCGAGCATCGTAAGAAATTTATTTCTTTTTCTCTTGTATTAAGTGTAATTTAGCAAGTGTTTCAAAGTCACATTTTTACATTACTTTACAGTTTTTGGTTTATTTAAGTAAAAAAATTATCTTAATTATAATGATTGTAGATACCTGGGTATACGCGGATTTGATTAAAATAGCTCAACTTGCATATTTTAATCAAATCCAAAATAGACATAGACATAGACATAGACATAGACATAACATTTATTACAAACAAAAAACACACACATAAACACACAAAATAACAATACTTAAAGAAAACATAAAATAAAATAGAATAAAATTAAAAATTAAAATTAAGAAATTTTCTTTTGCCATTCGGTTCGCTTCCAGTGTGCAATGTGTGTGTACTGTGGTTGTAATTATCCCTGGCTCAGCATTATGCTGAGGAGCAAAAAGTTCCACAGCGCTGGTCATTCTGCCAGAGACCATAGCAGCTAGTTTGCGCCTCTAATAAAATAAAATAAATAATTATAATACCAAGTAGAAAAATAATAATAATAATATTAGAGTTAGAAGTGTGAGTAAATTGTGTGTAACGGTGTATAATAAATAGAATTAAATTAAAAGTTAAAAATAAGAATAAACGTAAATAAGTAGATATTTGTTTGTAATAATGAAACATATCTTGATTTCTCAAATCATAAGTTATTGTTTACATCGGACCCCACTGTGAAAAAAAAATACTCTATCGGAAAGTGACCCTGTATTACAAGTTTTGGCGCATTTAATAGGGATTCTGAAAATGGCTCTAATTTCTTTCTAGGACGAAAAAACAAAACACTTGTAACTTATAATACAGGGTTTAATACACATTTCGGTAGAGTAGTTTTTTTTTCATAGTGGGGTCCGTAGTTATGATTTGAGAATATTTTATATCGTATAACTTAATATTATCTTCAATACACCCAATAAACAAACATAAATAGCATGTCTAACGCAAGGACTCGTCAGTACCAATCTAGTGGATATTATGAAAAAGATACAGAATGTAGATTTTTTCGAATTTCATAAGTATTAGTAAAAGAGTTATTGTCTAACGAGCGCACAGAGCAGACGTGTTACTATTCATTTAAATAAATTCAAAAAGTTCTTTAACCAATTACGAACCTTACGGCGACTAACTACAACAACTTCTTGCAAAATCGAGCGCGAGTGACATACACCGTTACAGTTTGCGAGCTTAAAGTAAATATAGTGTCATCGAAGCGGTAACCGCTCTTCACCCCCTTGAGTAACAAGGACGGAATATCTACCGCTGTATTTCCCCACCGTACGAACCTGACGGCGGCGCACACGCAACTCCCACGTGAGTAATTTCGTACATAGATCTACAATGAGCTTACCACGCTCACCGCCTGGAGGTGGCATGTGTGCGGGACGTAGCGGATCTTTTCTGAATTTGTCTGAGTCACATAAAGAAGCCAAATCGCAAATCACTTTACGTAATAAACGAAAATTACCCGACGATAATGAAGTGATCAAGTCTGATATTGCTGAAATAAAAAGGCAGATGTCTGAAATGCTAGACTTATTAAAATCGTCCAAAAGTGAACAAACCGAAAGTATAAATAAGCTCTCGGTAAATGTTGCTGCGATAAAAGCTGACGTCGCTAATATTAGCAGTACCATGCAAAATATTATCTTGGAAAATAAAAAAATTAAAGACCAACTCTCAAAATTATCTGTTGCTGCCGAAAATACAGAAAAGAAAGTGAGGCTTCTTGAATCTGATGTCTATATATTAAAAAATATGCCTCCTTCATCTTCTATCCAAACAACTGCCACACAAAATGAAATCTTCACCGAAATCGAGGAACGAAACCTCCGAGCCAAAAATATCATAGTTGCTGGAATTCCTGAATCCCGGAATTATACTACAACAAATCGGCAAGATTTACGATAAGGCAGAAATACTGCGAATTACTGAAATGATTCATAACGCTTGCCCTCAACCTACTAGAATATTTCGTCTTGGAAAGTATAAATCGGAGAAAAATCGTGCAATAAAAGTATGTTTCCCATCTGAAGACACAGCAAAAAACATACTACGTAATAGGAATAAGATTGACAAGGAACATATCAAGATATATTCGGATCAAACTCCATACCAACGGAAATACCTTCAAAATTTAAAAGAAGAGCTACAGCAACGTACCTCAAATGGAGAAAGCGGTCTTAACATCAAATATATCAAGGGCACCCCCAAAATAGTTACATCTAGGGAAACGCAAGAAACAACAACAAAGGAAACTCCAAAAAACTGATGACGTCCAAAGAAAAAATAACTTACCAAATAACCAACAATTACACGGATATTATTTTTACAAAAAAATCTCTGAAATTTTTCTATGCCAACTCTCGCAGTATTGTCAAACCTGGAAAATTCGATGAGCTTAGATGTATTATCGCTTCTTTACAAGTAACCATACATATCATTATACTAACGGAAACTTGGATTTCTTAATCCAATTTTTTCATTATATATAATATAAATTCACTCTTGTGAAGATGAGGCAAAAATGCTCCAGATACCCTCCTATACCCATTACTTTAATTATAGACAAAATAAAAGGGGAGGTGGAGTGTCAATATTTGTGTACAACAATCTCAAACATCACCTTGTTGAAGAAAAATGCGTCGATGATACTCATTATCTCTGGGTATACGTGGAAAAATTCTCTCTAAATATCGGTGCCATTTATAAGCCCAATAAAATAAATATGGATAACTTTCTCGAGATATATTCACAAAAATTACACAAATTGAAACGAACAATAGTCTTTGGCGATTACAACCTGGACTTACTCAACCCGGACTAAGCGACACGCAAATATAAGAACACCTTAAAAGAGAACAACTACAAAATCCTGAACAAAATAAGCCCAAAACACTGTACCCGCGAAACAACCTCATCCAAGACAATGTTAGACCATGTATCTTGTAATTTAAGTGAAAATAATTTTCATTTTATCACTACGGAATCTTCAATGTCTGACCACAAACAAATACTTTTAGAGATAAAGCAATACCAACCACCAACTATCATAAAACAGCAATACAACGCAGTTGACTTCAGCAAATTTTATCGATGCCTGAATGAATATCCTAAAAATCATGAAGACGTAGAGTATGATGAATTGGCAGGGAAACTGAAATCCTGTTTAAATAAGTGCAGAATCACAAAATTTAAAACATTGAATCCTCCGCGGCAAGACTGGATTAAAAAAGAACTATTAGAAGAGATAAATAGCAAGAACATATTATGGCAAAAATATAAAACAAATGCGGTAGACACGAAACTAAAAGCAGAGTATGAACATATAAAAGCTAGAGTATCACACAATATAAGAAAAGCGAAAAGAGAATATTATCTGAAGAGGTTTGAAGAAAATTCTAGTAAACCACGGAAAATGTGGAGACTTATAAACGACTTAGCTAAAAACAAAGTGCATGACAGACCTGGACCAGACAAACTTGAAACGGCAACTGGTACTATTACGGACAAAAAAGAAATATGTGAAAGTTTTAACTCATATTTTTCGACTATTGGCTCAACCCTAGCAAATATGATTTCAAAAAAATCAAAAGTACCTCAAATTTTAGAAGAGTGTAGTCTAGATAGAACAGAATTGCGATTTCTGAAACCAGTAACTACGAAAGAAGTTATTACCATAATTAAAAATTTGGACTGTAATACTGCATCTGGCATTGATGGTATTAGTACAAAATCAATTAAATGCGTAAAAGACATTATTGCCACGGAACTAACAGTCTGTATTAACTATCATTTGGCACGAGGTATTTTTCCCAACGAGTTAAAGGTTGCAAAAGTTGTACCAATTCATAAAGCCGGAAGTAAACTTGACCCGTGCAATTATCGCCCTATATCAGTTCTCCCAGTGCTTTCTTAGGTCTTTGAGAAGATTATTTATAACCAATTAGAGTCATTCCTTAATTCAAAAGGTTTCTTTTACCGAAAACAATATGGCTTTAGAGCCCAATCAAATACTCTCGCTGCCACAATTGACCTCGTAACCAAAATTAAAAATAAAATTGATCAAAAACAAGTTGCCTTAGGTATATTTATTGATCTAAAAAAAGCCTTTGACACCATTAGTCATGAAAAATTATTACTAAAACTAAAACTTACCGGTGTTACAGACAAAGCACTTGAAATTTTTAAATCATATATGGAGAACCGAAAACAAATAGTAAAAATAGGTGAATATGAAAGCAATCCCTGTATCCTGAATTTTGGCGTTCCCCAGGGATCAATATTAGGCCCCCTCATGTTCCTCATTTATATTAACAGTATCAGTGATTGGGGTCTCAAAGGTGACATATCCCTTTATGCAGACGACACAAGTCTCTTTTACTTTGGAAACTCGATCGAAGCTCTAATAGCCGACGCTCAAAATGATCTTAATCTGTTAAATGAGTGGTTTCAGTCAAATCTTTTAACTATTAATATTACAAAAACAAATTATGTTATTTTTGCAGCAAAAAATAAAAAAATAAATAATAATTTCGAACTTAAAATAAACGGAAAAATACTTGAACGAAAACCTAAAGAAAAATATCTCGGACTTATTTTGGATAGTAACCTAACTTGGAAGCCACATCTAGAAAAAATTAAACTTAAACTAACACCACTCACAGGGGCACTGCAAAACATAACAAATTGTCTCCCTCAAAAAGTGCGGTATCTGATCTATAATTCTCTGGCTAAGCCGCATGTCGACTACCTCATTGAGGTCTGGGGTACTGCAGCGAAGAGTAATTTGGATCCTATCCAAAGAACTCTGAATAGATTGATTAAAAACTTATTTAACTATAAATTTCGGACGCCTACTGAAAGGATATACGAGGAAACAAAATTAATGAACATTAAACAAACGTACATATATTACACTTGTATTCTAATACGCAAAATATTAAATAGGGAAATTAATTCTAATATAAAATTTTTAACCAAACAACAAACACGAAACATTAACTTAAGACGTGCTAGTTACTTGGTGACCCGCCCTCCTAGAATTAACTATGGAAAAAGAAGTTTGGAGTATGAGGGTGTTACAATTTATAATAAGTTACCATCAGTTATAAAAGCAGAACAAAATTATGCCCGATTTAAAAAGCTTCTAAAAACTTACACATTAATTACATACAAATAAGTGATCAAAATATAATATGTATATTTATATATATATATATATATATATATATATATATATATCGACAAGAATGCGATAACACTTGAAATGTATAATGTTTAAGAACTTTAAACTAACACCACTCACGGTGTTAAAGAATTGTATTTGATATTGACCAAAATCTGCCTATAGGTGATTTTAATTTGTAAAAATGTTTTATAAACCTTGTACATACCCTAAATATATAAATATAGGAATAAACTAAAAATAAAAATAAAGTCTTATGAAAAATAATAAAATAATCAATATAAACTTGTTATATCAGACTATGCCATCAATGCCACATCTAGAAAAAAATTAAATTCTAACATCCGTGTTTCGCTTGGTTGACTGACCAAGTTTTTTATGTCTACCCACATTTTTGGTGCTGTTCTGTTTTCTTATTTTATATATGTACCTACATCTGTGCGCTCTAATTTTTAATCTTAGTTTTAAATATGTGTTTCTCAGTAAGTGAATTTTCAATTCTTATGAGAAATAAAGTTATTCTTAAACCTAAAAAAAACGTCAACTTTCTTATAAAATCACAAAATAAATTATTACTCTGCAGGGGTTGAGCTGAAGGACCTCCCGTAGAATATTTTTTTTCAGCTGATGACCCCATCTAACCCCTAGTTGCGTTTGATCCACGACTTTTTGGCCAGCCTGTATATGGTGCGTATGTATTTGAGAGTGTAGCTAAGTCGGACAAATTACCTCGTCTATTGTATAAATATTGTTTTAGACTAAATGGTCTAAATATTAACTCAGTACGTAATGGATGGATTTGTAAAAATCAATATTTTTACCCAGATTAGAACCTATACCTACCTACCTTAGTACGCCATGCTACACATTACTAAGCAACAGATTTTTCAAGGAGTATTACATCCAAGTAACTTCCCATACTACGAAGGCTAGCACGATTTATGGTGTAATTTCTTTTAGCTTTGTCGGATGATTACAAAGTAAAGAAGATAAACTAACATTATATTTATAATTAGCTCATATCTCCATCTATGACAGTGTAAATATAACACTACTTTAACATCCATCAAAATTAAGTAAATGGACCCTGTGTTTGATCCGATTTACGTACAATTTACTTACTTGCTTCAAGAAAAACATCGTGAGAAAACCGGCATGTCATAAGGCAAAAATCGTGTTAAGAAAAGCTCAATAAACAAATGCAGATATCTATGGTTTTGTAACACCGCACATTGTCTCTATAGTATCTCTCTTATTAAGCTAATGAAATTAACTTACTGCTGCATCCACAAATTTATGATTTAGCCAGCCTCCATGACAAGAGACGCTCCTTTGTTTAACCTATTTCTGTTTAGATTACACTTTCGCGTGATGAGGCCGCCTCAATTAATTATTATAATGATTCTTTGGCTTCATACAACTTATTGTTAAAATGGGTGAATGAAGGAAAGTTGAAGTATAAAGAAGAAGTTTACTACGGTTTCGAAAATATGGTGAAGGCATTGAACAGTATTCTGCGGGGAGAAAATATTGGAAAAGTATTATCTTACGAAACGAAGACGTGATGAAAATCATAAAGCTATTCATGATAAAGCATCCTGTTTGTGCCCTATGGCTTATTAGACGTGGTCTTTTTTATTTGCAATTGTAATAAGAATGTAGTAGGTTTGTAATAGGAATTAAATATGTTAGTAAGAGCTGTGTTGGCTTGAGAGTGCGACAAAACCCAGCTGTGTACCAATGTACTTTTCTATGTGCGCTTTAAACACTCGCTCATACGGTGAAGGAAAATATAGTGAGGATACCGGCATGTTTTAGACCAGTGTTTCCCAACGAGGGGCCCACGACCTACAGAGGGGCAATTTTATAGTTAAGGACGGCTATACGGAAATTTATTAAAATTATTGAATATATGGGAATAACGGGTTCGATCCAGAGGTCATTGTACTTACCGAATGCTGGATCGATCAACATTTTGACGGACTCTGTTTGAACGGATATATCTGCAAATACTCAACACAATATATTAACAAATGTGATGGTATTGTTATTTTCCATAAGCCGGACATAAACGTCAAGATATC